TCTATCTATCTATCTATCTATCTATCTATCTATCTATCTATCTCTGTGTTCACAGGCTCCAGATTAGAACTTTTGCTCTAGAGCATGTTGTGGGGGGGTGTGGTGAGGCAAGAGGGATAGGTACCAAAGGGAGGAGAGTGATTTTTTTTTTAGAGTGATTCTTTTGAATGCTAACATTTGAGGGAGGCCAGGAAGGCTTAACAATGATTTTATTTTATTGTTTTTTATCAGAGGGCATTGTAGTTGGTACATCTATCTAGGGGCCATAGCTAAGTTCGCTGCTGGACTCAGGGAGGTAGAAGGTCTTAAAGGAGCCAGAAATCCCAAGAAACAGAATGAGGGATTCAGATAACATTAGAACCAGAAACCCCTTAGAAATGAGAATGTTAGAGTCAGAAGGAACCTTAAATGTAGACTGTTAGAACTGGTAAGAGACTTAGAACATAGAATGTTTGAGAAGGGTGACCCCTTTCTCCCATTGCTGAGCTCAGAACCTTCATTCTGAGGAAGGACCCAAATAGCCTTCATCCTCTGGACCTCCCCATCATGCCCGAGCATGTGAATGGCTCTCCCTACCCACCACCTCATCTTGCTTTGTCAGTTTCCTTTATATAATGTCTTCTTCCATTAGAATATAAGCCCCTTGAGGTCCAGGATTTTTGCTTGTATTTGTATCCCCAGTGCCTGGCACATAGTAAGTGATCAATAAAAGCTTGTTGACTTAACTTAGAGCTGAGACTTTAGAACAGACTATTAGAATATAAAATATTAGAGATGTTAGCACCCTACAAATACAGAATGTCAAAATGAGGAGGGACTTTAGAACTTAAAAGAAGTCAGTGTTAGAGGGATCTTAGAGAGATCTGCAGAAGGGAAATGGCTTGCTAAGCTTAGGTCACATGGGATGCTGTAGTACCACCCCCCAGGTGCCTAACGGAGCATCATTAAGGTTCGACGGTAGGGGTGGCCCACTCCTAGCCCAGTGGCCCAGTCAATGCCATACTTGTATGCCCCAGCCTTAGTACTTGCATAGCGTCCATTGAGGTTGGATTTATAGCAGTTTGCATACCACCAGGCCCCTTGCACCATGACTGCGCAATTGTCACTGTGGATGTCACTATCAGCATCATGGGTGGAGAAGGGCTTTCCACTATGATAAGTCAAGGAATCCCCTGGAGGGAGCAAATAAGAAAGAGAGCTTCCTCTGGCAGCCTGTCTTCCCTACTTCCCATTTCCTTCTCTGTTCCCTGGTCACCCCCTTCTAGCCAAACACAGGTACATAAAGAGAGGTAGTGTGGGATAATGGGCTAGGAGACAGGAGAACTGGGTTCTAATCCTGGCTGTAATGCTAATTTGCTATGTGATCTCAAGGAGGTGATTTCTCCAATCTGGGTCTCATTTTCTGAATCCAGAAAATGTGGGCTTTAATCAAAATGATGGTAGGATTTGAAGCACATAGAGGCCTCAGAGGTCAACTCCATTTTACAGATGAAACTGGGGCCCATTGAGGTTAAATGACATTATAAATATCAGGGTCAGAATTCAAACTGAGGTCCTCTGATTCCAGATCTAAGTTCTTTCCATGATGTCATACTGCCTGCTCTAGAAACTAGAATCTAAATTTTTTTTTGGTGAGGCAATTGGGGTTAAGTGACTTGCCCAGGGTCACATAGCTAGTGAGTATCAAATGTCTGAGGCCAGATTTGAACTCAGGTCCTCCTGACTCTAGGGCCAGTGCTCTACCCACTGTGCCATCTAGCTGCCCCAAGAATCTAAATTATTATAAGGAACTTTAGAGATCAATGAGTTTCACCTCTCCTCCCATCACTTTCTAAGGCCTCTCAGGCTCTTCAGTTCCCCAGCCCTTTCTGTGTAGCCATCTCTTCGTCCATCAAAACTAGGTGAAAAAGTTCTGCCATGGGTGACTTTAGAAGGGTCCATCCCCAAGGCACTAAGGAAGGCGGCACCCCATGCTCACTTCCTTCTTTTCAGTCCCTCCCCAATGGCCCTCCTCGTTCCTGGTTCCTCCTTCCAGAGGCCCCAGTTCCTTCTCCCCCTGCCAACCTACCCGCACTGCCCTTGAGGAACTTGTCAAGAACCAGCTGGTATTTGTTAGCCTCACTCAGGATCCTGAAGCCCTGGTAGTGGGCAAAGGTCTGGGTACCATTGAAGTCTTCCAGCTCCACTGGGAGTTCCCTGGGTGCTTCAGGGTGGGAAGAAGGCAGAGGTATAAAGAGGAATTCCTTCACCTCCAGCAAAAATAGGGTCAGATGTGACCTGTGGGTATGGTTGCCCCTGAAGAGGAGGCGAGGGCATGCCCTTGAATGCTAGCAGTTTAGGTTTAGTCCCAATTTTCTCCAAGCTAGTTAGGACTCTGGGGGAAACCAGATGGTCACCCAGCCCATTTCCACATTCCTGCCATAGCAAGGCTGCTAGTACCACAGTCATCTCCTTTCTCCTGAAGTATCACCCTAGCCACATTCCCCACAGCATTTTGTCTCATAGCATTGTGTAGTGGAAAAAACATTATATCAGGCTCAAATCCTGGCTTTTATTATCTGTGTGATCTTGAGCAAGTCATGTTCTCTGGGCCTCAGTTTCCTCATCTGTAAAATGAGACTGGACCTTCATCCAGCCTCTTCCCTCTCCAAACCATCTTTCAATCTGCTTCCCAGTTACTCCTCTCTTCAAAAAACCATTAGTGACTCCCCATTTCATACCAAGTAGAGTATAAATTCCTGATCCAGGTTTTTCACAACTTGGATCCCAGCTGCCTTGCCTCACTCTCTTCCCCTTCCTGCTATAATCAAAGTGGTCTTGGTTTTTTTTTTTTTTGAAGGCAACTGGGGTTAAGTGACTTGCCCGGGGTCACACAGCTAGTAAGTGTCAAGTGTTTTGTCTGAGGCCAGATTTGAACTCAAGTCCTCCTGACTAAAGGGCTGGTGCTCTGTCTACTGCGCTACCTCGCTGCCCCTCAAAGTGGGCTCATTCCTCAACACAACCTCAGAGAATCACAAAATCTTGGGGTTGGAAAGGACTTCAGAGAAAATCTAGTTCAACCTGTGCCTAAAATCCACCACAACATCCCCAACAAATGGTTAGCGAACCGTCCAAAGATGGGGACTCACTACCTCTGAGGGCAACTCATTCAACTTAAGGATATCTCTAATTATTAGCAAGATTTCCCCTGACATCCCCTGTTCCTCTGTAACTTCTGAGTTCTGACAAACAGAACCAGTGCAATCCCTCTTCCACTTGTCTCCCCCCTTCAAATAGTGGTTCTTCTCCAGGCCAAACATTCTGGGTTCCTTCAACTAATTCTCAAATGACCTAGGCTCAAGGCCCTTCCCTATCCTGGTTACCCACCTCTAGACACTCTTCCTTGCCCTTCTTAAACTACTACATTCAGTCCTGAACACAGTTCAGTTCCTGGTCTGACCAGGGCAGAATACAGAAAGATGATCATCTTCATTTTTCTGGAAGCTATGACCATCTTACTGGGGGCCTAAGGTTTTATTAATTTTCTTGTTTGCCACCTCATGGTACTGACTCCATTTCAGCTTGCAGTCCAATGAAACTCCCTGATCTCATCCTTAAAACACTCCTATCTAATTGTTCTTCTCCCACATGGTAATGATAAAAGTGATTTTTTGCACCCAAGTGTAAAACTTTACATTTATCCTTTTTGAATTTCATTTTATTCAGTTCAGCCCAATGCTCTAGTTTGTCGAGATCTTTTTGGATCCTGATCCTGACTCCCAGTGTGTTATTTGGTGTTAATGAAAATTTGATGAATCTTTCTCCAAGATAATGATAAAAATTTGAACCAGCCCAGGGCCAAGCAAAGGTCCCTGGGGTTTTCCACTGGAGAATGTCCTGAGGAATCATTAATGTCTGTTTGTCCTGCTTCCTGCCATCTCTGTGCCTAAGTGCTTGGAATGAATGAGAATTTGCCAATAGTGGGGAATAGTGAAAAATGTGCTGGATTTAGAGGCCTTGAATTCAAATTCTGGTTCTACTATTTACTACCTGAGACACCTTATGCAAGTCACCTTCCCTCCAAGGGCCTCAGTTTCCTCATCTGTAAAACCAGGGTGGCCCCTGAGGTGCCTTTCAGCTTTAGGTCTAGGATACCAGGATTTCTGTGTGGGAAGGTCTGTCCCAGCTCATGTGCCGGTTTCTCCATTGTTTCCACCCTAGATATGATGAAAGTGTTCTTCTCACACATCTCCCTGCACATTCCCCACAGCATTTTGCATGGTAGTATCCGTTATATCTGGAATCAGGTTCAAATCCTGGCTCATATTACCTGGGTGAATCTAAGCAAGTCATGTCCTCTGCACCTCAGTTTCCTCATCTGTAAAATGAGGGGACTGGACCAAGGACTAGAGCAAATAAGAAATTTTTTCATGTAGGGCAGAAATAATTGGTTCTAGGGAGGTAGCAGCTCTGCTAAGGTCTTTTGCAGATCGAAATCTATGGTACTACGACCTTTTGCTCTTATCTCATTTGCTCTTACAGCATCTCCTCCTCTCCCCACTCCCCATCCCCCACTGGACTGTAAGTCAACTCTTGAGGGCAAAAATTGCATCTTATTTCACTTCGTTTCCCCAGTTCCCAGCACAGTGCCCTGCACATAGTTGAGCTGAGTAAATATTTGGTGAATTGAGATCTGAGAAAGAGAAGCAAGCCTCAGAGAAGTGACTCTTGGGATGGCCAAGGTGCAGAAGGCCGTGGGCCTGAATCGCTTACCTTCACAGGTCAGCTGATATAGGTTCTCATTTCCAAGCCAGAATTCAGACTCCTTGCTCCCAAAGCCAGCTTTGTAGGATGCCCAGGGTCGGTAGAAATCCACAGAGCCATCCTGACGTCTCTGGAACACCTGGTGAGGGACCTAGGGGTCAAGGAACTGAGGACTCTGCCAGAAGAGAAAAGCTTCTCCCTCCCTGACCTCCAGGGGACCCAGTCCTTATTTCTTCAGAAAGGAGGTGGGGAGGAAGGACCGGCTTCAAGGCTGCTGAGTCTATTAAATCAGGGGAGGATTTGACATGAATCCCACGGAGAATTTTGGTCCAGACCTTTAGTAAATGTTTGTCATAAAAGATCTTGATGTAGATCTCAAAGTGAAATCAGAGGTTGAGGAAGCACTCTGTCCACTCGGCCACCTAGCTGCCCTATGCCTGGCACTACTGTAAACATTTCATCGGTGCTGGTTGATTGACTTAGCAATGGATTCTTTTTCACCCTCTCCACCTAATGAAAGCCTCCCTCCTTCATCCTCCAGGGACCTGCTTGGGTCCTAGCTCCTCCAGGCAGCCCCCTCCACCACTCATTACTTCCACCCACAGGCATCTCCTTCCGTGGAACTTTCATTGTTTGGGGGTGTTCTCTGTCCATTTCTTATGTGCCCATGTCTTGTGTCCCCAACTAGACTGTCAGCTTCCCCGAGGGCAGGGCTGGTGTCTGGGATTTCCGGTCTCATTCAGTGCCAGGCAGAATCCAACCAGCCAAGGCTTAGCCCCACTCTATGGGGCTCTACCGCCCTCTTGGGGCAACCCTGAGAGGTACAGGCCCAGGGCGCACTCACCAGCCAGCCCCCCTCAGCAGAGGCCATGTCACAGAAGACAGGCAAGACCTTGCCATTGGGCAGGCACAGCTGGTACCAGCCACTCAGGGACGCTCCTCGACTCTGCAGCTCCCTGCAGTCCTGGGGTCCTAGATGAGTCAGAAGGGCCAGCGCTGTGGTATTCCTTCCAGCTCCCTCTCCGACCAGTGTCCCTTTCCCCTTCCAATCCCTTGATCTCTTCATCCCCTGCCCCCCTCAGCCTCCCCAAGGCTCCCTGCAGCTCCTCCCCAGCCAGCCAGCACTAAACCCCTTCCCCAATTCCTTCCTCTTAGGGATTCCAGCAACCGGCCTCAGTACCTCCCCTTCTTAACAGTCCCCCCCCTCCAATCCCACCAGGGGCTCCTGATCTCTGTCTCACAGCAGAACCCTTGTTGCAACCCTGCCCAAAAACTACAATCCCAAGACTCTTATAAGACTCCCTTCTTGGCCTCCCGCTCAACCACTGGTGTTAGAACTGAGGCTGAGTTCAAGAGACTGTAGACACAGGATACCTGGGTCTCCAAACTGTGCCTCAGTTTCCCACCCCTCAGTGTGGAGGGTCTTGGACCTCAGAGGAGGAGAAATTTCAGGACACAGGGACACAGGACACAGCTAGGACCCAACTTTTCAGAAGTTCCAGGGAAAAAGGCACCCAGCCTAGGCTTGAAATGGTTGCCCTTTCCCCCAGTTGCCTGCCCCAAGAGCACTCAGAGATCAATCCTCTAGGGATCTCCTTACCTGCCTGGCACTGCTTCAACATGTCCATGGCATCTCCTGGCACCAGGGAAACAAGCCGTATGTTACCTCAGCGGACATGTCATTGGTCCCCTAGGCAATGGTCAGGATTGGGGGGAGGAGGTCTGTGAGGTTGGGGTGACCTGAGCAGTGGAGGAGACCTACCTGGGACCCCAGAAAAGTTGAGGTATTCAAGTGAGGAGAGTGGGAGGGCTCATCCAAACCTTGTTCCTCTCCCTAAAACCCCCAACTCTCAGAAATTCAACTTCTAGTGGGGGAAGAATCAAGTGTGTGGAGCAGTGGGGGAGGGGAGAAGACCCTAGCTTTGGAGTCAAAGAGAGCTGGGTTCAAATCCCACTTCTGATGCTTGCTACAGTCTCTGATTCTGAATTTCCTCATCAGCAAGAGAATAGTTGTATCGGTGAAGTGGAAAGAGTATTGGAGTTGGCTTCAGATTCAGGGAAGAACCAGGGTCAAGGACTGCTCCCAATCTTACCACTGTGGGACCACTTGGGGGAAGGTCTCTTTACTTCTCTGAGACTCAGTTTCCTCGAATGTAAAATGAGGTCAATCCCTGTAGTGATTAACTCAAAGGGCTGTTTTAAGAACAAGGTGAGATGGTCATGGAACAGGCCTGGCAGACCTTCGCACTGGCCGTGCAAACATCAGCTACCTTTCTGAGGAAAGGGTCTCGTAAACTGGAGCTCTTTGGTTGCTATTTGCGGAAGGGCAGAAGGACCTAGGAACTCCCCAGCCACGGGCTGCCTCTCTGCCTCAGATGCCCACTGAGCCAGAGAGGGGCAAACCCATGTGATTCCAGAGCAGAGAGATTGGGGAGCTCCGATGGAGAGAGGACTCACTCACCAGGTTCCCCCTTGGGTCCGACTTTCCCTGGTGGCCCTGGCAGTCCTGAAACAAGGTAACGATAGCAGCGTCCATGAGCCTGGCACCTCTCGGGACTGCCTAGCATCTCATCCTTCTGTCTCAGGACAGAGGGAGACCTCCCAAAAGTCCCAAACCCCACCTCTGTCAAAGAGAAACCTCCCCACCTCCCCCACTTCTCTTTTCTCACCTGTAGAGCCTGGTGCCCCCTTTTCCCCAGGGCTTCCAGCTGCCCCTGTGGGTCCTGGGCAGCCCTGCAGAACCATTATTTTGCTGGTATCCAAAACTTTGGGTTCTGTAGAAGGAAATTGACAACGAAATCATGGGGGGAGGGAAGCGAATGGAGGGCAGGTCGGTCAACTGCTGGCACCTAGGTGATGACAGTTAGGTGGTGTTGAATCTAGAGCCAGGAAGACCAGAGTTCAAATTTGGCCTCAGTCACAACTAACCCTGTGACCCTGAGCAAGTCATTTCACCTCTGCCTGCCTCCGTTTTCTCATCTGTAAAATGGGGAAAATAATGGTACTTACCTCCCAGGATCAAATGAGATAATATTTGTAAAGTGCTATATAACTGCTAGCTTTATTATTATTAATTATATATTATATATTTTAATTATATATTATATATTACATATTTTAATTATACCTCCACAACCTTTCATACTCATCTACTCCTGACCTATCACATCACACATGGCCACTTCCCCAATTTAGGCCCTTGTCACCTCTGTCCTAGCGAGCCCCAAAACAGCTCTTGCTGCCCCTCAGCCTTTCCCCTCTCTACACTGTCCTTCACCCAGATTGGCAAATTCTTTGTGGGCAGATCTTACCTTATCACATCCCTCCTTGAGAGACATTCTATGGCTCCTCAGTGCCCTGAAATTACTTTGTATTCATTGTATCCCTGAGTGAAACATTGTCTCTGTGAGGGTAGGGACCATTTCATTGAGTCTTTGTATTCCCAGCAACTCCTACAGTATCAGGCACACAGTAGGCTCTTCAATAGGCTTCTCATTTGCCACCTCCAGGGTTAAAGCCCCTTCACCTGGCATTCAAGGCCTACCACAATCAGACACTGACTTATTTCCCAAGCCTCCCTTCACATATTATCTGCTTCAACCCAAGTGGACCACTTGTCCCTGTTTCTCTGCCTTTGGGTGCCCTGTCCTCCATTCCTGGGACACCCTGCTAAAGCAGTGTTGCCTAATAAAGAGAGCCTTGGGTCTAGACTTGGTCCTAGGAGCTGCTTTATACCCAAACTCTGCTACTTACTGGATGCAGTCAGGTGGCACAGTGGGTAGAGCATTGGGCCTAGAGTCAGGAAGATCTGAATTCAAATCTGGCCTCAGACACTGACTATCTTTGCCACCCTAGGCAAGTCACTTCACCTCAGTTCCTCATCTATAAAATGGGACACAGTGAAGAAAGAAATGGCAAACCACTCCAGTATCTTTGCCAAGAAAAACCCCACAGAGTCAAACACAACCCAACAACAACTAACTACTACTGGGTTGTCCCTGGACAAGTCACTTGGCCCCTCTAGGATTGAGATGATCTCTACTGTTTGACATCCTACCCACCCTTCAAACCCCAGCTCAAATCTTCCTCCTTCCAAGGGGGAAGGGGAAGGAGTTAAGAAGAACAGAAGGGGAAGAGGTGGGAATTGAGGAGAGCCAGGTGTCCGGCTGAGTAGGGAGGGTCCACGGAGGGGCCTGGGGGAGATGCAAGGAGCCCTGGGAGCAGGCTGAGGATAGGGTCAAATGCACTGGTCTTCCCAGCTTAGGGGCTTTCCCCAGGAGCCTCCTCCCTTCCTGAGCCTGCCAGATTCCAGGGGCTCAAGGTTCTTGCCTGCTGAGCCCAGCACAGAGTTTTTCTTTTTTGCGTCCAGGCCTGATGTTATTGAATAAAAAAGATCTAAGCTGAAGGAGGCCAGGATGTCCAAAACTGAATTCACCTTCCCCCCAAAACTTTCCCTTCTTCTTGTTGAGGAGACCACCATCCTCCCAGTCACCCAGGCTCACAGCCTAGATATTAGCCTCACCTCTTTCAATCCCTCATATCCAATCTGTTGCTGAGGCCTATGGATTTTACCTATGTGACATCTCTCACATATATCCCCTTCTCTCCTCTGACACTGGTGCTCCCTTGGTGCTAGGCCTCATCACCTCCTGCTTGGACTATTGCAATAGCCTGCTGGAAGCAGGGCGGTGGGGGGGGGGGGGGCCCTTTGCCTCAAGTGTCTCCCTGCTCTAATCCACCTTACACTTAGCTGCCAGTGACATTCCTTAAAGAGCACGTCTCACATTACCCTATTACCCAATCAACCCACTTGGTTCCTTGTCACCTCAAGGATCAAATAGGATCTCCACTGGCTTTCAAAGCCCGGCATAACCTGCCTCCCCCACCTTTCTGGTCTTCTTACACCTTACAAGTGAGGCACTAATTCATCCCAGTTTCCCTGTGTACTCTTTGATCTAGCAACACAGTCTCCTGGCTGCTCCTTGAACAAGGTACTTCAATCTCCTAACACCGGGCATTTTCTTCAGCTGTTCTCCATGCCTGGAACCCTCTCCTTCCTCATCTCTGTAGGTACCTAATGTTTATTGAAGAATGGCTAGGTGGTGCAGTGGATAGAATGCTGGCCCTGCAGTCAAGAGGACCTGAGTTCAAATTAGGCCTCAGACACTTATTAGAGGTGTGCCGTTGGTCAAGTCATTTAACCCTGTTTACCTCAGTTTCCTTATCTGTAAAATGAGCTGCAGAAGGAAATGGCAAACTGATCCAGTG